GAGCATATTGACAGTGTGCCAAACAGGATGCTGTAGATCAGACGTTAGAAAGTGCTTTTTAAAAAAGACAAAGGCCTCACCTTCCTCTAAAGTCCCAGCAGCACCTTGGCTCCCACAAGTGTCCACTGAAGGCACCACAGGCATCTGTATCATTTGTAAATCAAGACCTGGATCTTCCTGCTCCAGTCGAGGCTGTTTTGCTGCTGCTGGTGGTGCTTCCTCTTCTCCTTCCACCTCTCCCTGATGATAAGCCTCATGAGGAGGTTCTCCATCAGCTTCTGCATCCTGTCCTGAACCACCATCACTGCCCTGAGCTGCACCGGACATCCCGTTTACAGAGGTATCTCTATGTTCAGTGGCCTGTGGAACATGCACAATTTATATCATTTCAGTCATGGATTTCACATACAGATGACATACACTGGCAGTGATACTTATATATACACATTATATAAGCTTACACATTCACAGTAATCTGACTACAATATAAAAGATACGTAGTTTGTAAGATTTAAACCATATTATTTTTATTACAAAACAGTAAAAACAGCGACATCACTTATAATAAAATGAAACTCATTTATGAAACCCATAAATTCCAACTAAAGTAATAGTTTCTGCTATATGCATATCAAAGTTTCAAAAGAAACTAGGCAGAAAATACTACCTTAGAAATGCTTTCCTTTTTGACATCAAAATAATTTATCATTTCTAAACTGTAACGGATAGTGATGAGTCAGGCAGGAACTTCTCAGAATTTTCTTTTACCATTTTAGAATATATATAATTAGGTTTACTACAAAATTACAGAATTGCTTAAATACTTAATATACACTGAACAAAAAAATGATAAATGCAACACTTTTGTTTTTGCCCCCATTTTTCATGAGCTGAACTCAAAGATCTAAGACTTTTTCTATGTACACAAAAGGCCTATTTCTCTCAAATATTGTTCACAAATCTGTCTAAATCTGTGTTAGTGAGCACTTCTCCTTTGCCAAGATAATCCATCCACCTCACAGGTGTGGCATATCAAGATGCTGATTAGACAGCATGATTATTGCACAGGTGTGCCTTAGGCTGGCCACAATAAAAGGCCACTCTAAAATGTGCAGTTTTATCACACAGCACAATGCCACAGATGTTGCAAGTTTTGAGGGAGCGTGCAATTGGCATGCTGACTGCAGGAATGTCCACCAGAGCTGTTGCCCGTGAATTTAATGTTCATTTCTCTACCATAAGCCGTCTCCAAAGCCGTTTCAGAAAATATGGCAGTACATCCAACCGGCCTCACAACCGCAGACCACGTTTAACCACACCAGCCCAGGACCTCCACATCCAGCATCTTCACCTCCAAGATCGTCTGAGACCAGCCACCCGGACAGCTGCTGCAACAATCAGTTTGCATAACCAAAGAATTTCTGCACAAACTGTCAGAAACCGCTCATCTGCATGTTCGTCGTCCTCATCGGGGTCTCGACCCGACTGCAGTTCGTCGTCGTAACTGACTTGAGTGGGCAAATGCTCACATTCAATGGCGTCTGGCACTTTGGAGAGGTGTTCTCTTCACAGATGAATCCCGGTTTTCACTGTACAGGGCAGATGGCAGACTCAGAAACCGTCTCAGGGAAGCTAATCTGCATGCTCGTCGTCCTCGGGTCTCCACCTGACTGCAGTTCGTCATCGTAACCGACTTGAGTGGGCAAATGCTCACATTTGATGGCGTCTGGCACTTTGGAGAGGTGTTCTCTTCACGGATGAATCCCGGTTTTCACTGTACAGGGCAGATGGCAGACAGCGTGTATGGCGTCGTGTGGGTGAGCGGTTTGCTGATGTCAATGTTGTGGATCGAGTGGCCCATGGTGGTGGTGGGGTTATGGTATGGGCAGGCGTATGTTATGGACAACGTACACAGGTGCATTTTATTGATGGCATTTTGAATGCACAGAGATATCGTGACGAGATCCTGATTGTTGTGCCATTCATCCACGACCATCACCTCATGTTGCAGCATGATAATGCACGGCCCCATGTTGCAAGGATCTGTACACAATTCCTGGAAGCTGAAAACATCCCAGTTCTTGCATGCTCAGCATACTCACTGGACATGTCACCCATTGAGCATGTTTGGGATGCTCTGGATCGGCATATACGACAGTGTGTTCCAGTTCCTGCCAATATCCAGCAACTTCGCACAGCCATTGAAGAGGAGTGGACCAACATTCCACAGGCCACAATCAGCATCTTGATATGCCACACCTGTGAGGTGGATGGATTATCTTGGCAAAGGAGAAGTGCTCATTAACACAGATTTAGACCAATTTGTGAACAATATTTGAGAGAAATAGGCCTTCTGTGTACATAGAAAAAGTCTTAGATCTTTCAGTTCAGCTCATGAAAAATGATGGCAAAAACAAAAGTGTTGTTTATAATTTTGTTCAGTGTATAAATTTTTTTTTTTTTACTGACAAAATGCATTTAATATGAACAATATATAACATTTAACAAATATTTTATTGTAAAGATACATGTATTGTTGACTATAAGTTTAAGTAAATAAGTTATGTATTACTAATGCATCATTTTACATATAACCTATATACAAGATAATTTGGTTTTTACCTCCAAAAACCACAACTGCTACTGTCCTGATAAATCTAATAGACATATTCTTTTATATATATATGTGACCCTGGACCACAAAACCAGTCTTAAGTCGCTGGGGTATATTTGTAGCAATAGCCAAAAAATACACCGTATGGGTCAAAATTATTGATTTTTTTTTTTAATGCCAAAAATCATTAAGGTATTAAGTAAAGATGTTCCAGGAAGATATTTAGTAAACTTCCTACCATAAATATACCAAACCTTATTTTTTTTTATTAATAATATGCATTGCTAAGGACTTCATCTGGACAACTTTAAAGGCAATTTTCGATTTTTTATTTTTGCACCCTCAGATTCCAGATTTTCAAATAGTTGTATCTCGACCCAATATTGTCCAATCCTAGCAAACCATACATCAAGGGAAAGCTTATTTATTCAGCTTTCAGATGATGTATCAAATTGACACTTAAGACTGGTTTTGTGGGCCAGGGTTATATATATATATATATATATATATATATATATATATAGAAGTCAATTAGACATTTTATCAAAAGCTTTTTCATAGTTTTGCTAAAAGTATAATTATTGCAAATTCTAATTAATTCAAATTTTTTGGTCAGTTACATTCTGACCTGTGTTACACATGAAAAACTGACATCATATTAAATTTAACAGAGGTTTAAGCAAAATGTTACCTCAAGTTTTTACAGCAGGTTTCCATTAATTTCATCCATTCATTCCTTTTTATTTTAGAGGATTTCATGTTCTTTTGCTACACATACACACACACACACACACATATATATATATTCTTATATAAGTTATCAGGTCTAAATTAACAGGTCTTCAGTGTTGTATTCTTAAAATTCCGAATATTTTTCAATGTACAGCAGCTCGTCCAGCCAAAAAAAGAGTCACTCTACCTGTTGTTTCTTTGATTCGTATCAGTCGTGTTGTGCTCTGAATCTTACAAATCAGACATAATTCCTCGGTGTATGTGTTTTACTAAATTCAGATGACAGTTTCTGAGCATCTCAACTACAAACGCATTGCGTTGAACCTACAATACACAGGAACTCATGCGTCGTGTTTGTAAACACAGGGCGCCGCCATGCCTGCACAGCGTGCGTTGCCAGGTCACCTTACTCTCGCGATATTTGCGAGATAATCTCAGGAAAGATTTCAGATTGTCATTGATTAACAACATTGACCGCATTGCTGCCTCTTGTTTATGGTATAAGAACTTATTTACTTATACTTGATTATATGTTCTGTTTTTGTCTACCATTGATTTGCACACATAATTTGGACAATTGTAAATTATGTCATGCGAGTCTATACCAGGGCTGCCCAAACTCGGTCCTGGAGGGCCGGTGTCCTGCAGAGTTTAGCTCCAACTTGCCTCAACACACCTGACTGGAAGTTTATATGCCTAGTAAGAGCTTGATTAGCTGCTTCAGGTGTTTAATCAGGGTTGGAGCTAAACTCTGCAGGACACCGGCCCTCCAGGACCGAGTTTGGACAGCCCTGGTCTATACCATTAAACCTTACCCTGTTTGTTCAACATTTGGTTTCTGTACTTCATTTGGCTGTCAAATTACTGATAACAAGGAGACAATCAAAACATATTTATGAAAATACCATTGTACATACTTTATTATTAATGCAACACTGGGTAAAAAAAGCAGTTTTAAAATGCATAACAGAAGACGTGACAAGTATGATAAACCATCAACATACTGTTTTATGAAGTGGACACAGTAAGTACTACAAAGAAAGTTAAATTCAATTTAAAAATTAATATTTTATGCTTCTGACAAACATGTCTGATGATCATTCCTACACATTCTTAGATGTGCAAGATGATATGTCAAATACTTAATAGTGCAATGGTGCTTGAAGATAGAAGACACTGTGGGCACTGAATGGTTTCTGTGAAAATCTCAAAACAGTCAGTAATCACTGCTACTCTGTGTCCAGGACTCCACAAATGAGGGATAATTTTGTGCCTGTCGCAGTTGTCTAAAATAGTATTTGTGCAGGCGGATCCAATCTGAGGTACATAAGGTTAACAGAAAATGAAGTGAGAATTTTGACTCGGCTCCACCGGAGTCTGGAGGAGATGATCGGCTCCACCGAAGGCTGGAGGAGATGATCGGCTCCACCGGAGTCTGGAGATGGTCGGCTCCACCGGAGGCTGGAGGAGATGGTCGGCTCCACCGGAGGCTGGAGGAGATGGTCGGCTCCACCGGAGGCTGGAGGAGATGGTCGGCTCCACCGGAGGCTGGAGGAGATGGTCGGCTCCACCGGAGGCTGGAGGAGATGGTCGGCTCCCCCGGAGGCTGGAGACGCTGATCGGCTACACCGACCATCTCCTCCAGTCTTCGGTGTAGCTGATCATCGTCTCAGCTGGCTGCAGTGTGTCTTAACTGCTCCCACTTACTGTTTAGTTCACGGTTTAGTTAGATCAGGTTTCTACACAGATAGAACATTTTGAACAGAAATCTTATACATTTAATGCACTTAATCATAATTTTACTATTTTCTTTCAAATTCATGCTTTGAATATGGATTTTTTTTGTCAAATCCAAGTACCACAGAAGCCAAGGCACCATGTTTTGTAACAAAGGGTACATTTCCTACATTTTTTCCAGTATTTGAAATGTACAATTTAATTCTAATTTTTTTTAAATGTCAAATGCTAAATAGTGAAAAAAAAAACAGTTCGCACAAGTGCTTCATTCTGAAGTATTTATTGTTTTTCTTCAAACAAACCAGAAACCTCCAAAAACTATTTACAAAATGAATATTCATACATTATTGTCAAAATGGTTTCTTATGACCTTTCTTAAATTGTTGCATCTCTGGAAATTTCAAAAGACATCCACCTCAGATGTGTGTGATAGCAAGGATGACTAGCATACGATTTTATGATTTAGAATCAGCCAATGCCACTGTTATTCAGTTGATCACTTTAACATGAACACAGTTCTGTGACAGTCAATACAGTATTGCTGCAGTATTATATCAATAAATATAAGAAACATGTATTTTTATCATCATTAACATTTTAAAACATGGATTTTTTTGCATACCAGTAAAGACATTAGGCATCTCTAGTTTAATCTGACCTGCAACATTACACAATGAATCATCTTTAAAGGGCAATACCTTACTCAGATAATGGCGTGCATCACCTTCACCAACAAATCCCATCCTTTCTGATCTTTAGCTCAGTAACAGCTGAAGCTGACACTCAAGCATGTGTTAGTAAAAGTACTTCTGCCCAGCCACGTCTATTTTGAGATCAAAAATTTAAACATTTGATCATTCTGACCTGGAAACAGTTTTTGCCTCTAATATTGAAACTGCAAAGCAAAAACCATTTTAACATTAGGTTGTATCATCAGAAATACTTGCCCAGTTAAAACCAAGAAGTAATTGCATGTCTTTTGTGGGGATCGTTTGATATAAATCATTTTGCAGGTTCATAAACAATGTTTCAAGGGTTTATTAAATAAAATCACTCGCTACAATCACAGAGCTAGTCTCGCTGACTGTTAACACTTTTTTTTTGTATTACACATCTTAAGTGTGCCTTAATAGGCAAAACTGAACTGTTAAGGCATGTCATTAAAAGAGAAGAAAGAAAAGGAAAAAGAAAATCAAACCTGAAACCCAACAGAGAAAGGAAAAAGTGTTAGGGATATATACATTATTTACATGGCAGCAAGAGATGAAGTGTAGTTAAGCCATGTCAGTGTGTGTGTATTCAACAATTAATTTTTTGTATGTGTGTGTGTATGCAGGTGTATTTCAGTTATTAATAATGAGTGCACGGTGTTTTAACCCTGGCTGCACTCGAGCAGAACTATTCTGTGCATGTTTGAGATCTCATAGTTCTCCGTTCCAGCATTCACAGTTCACTCCCTCCTCCTAGCAAGGAAACATGTTCCTCTGAGTAGTCCGAATACGGTGCAAAGAAGCTGCAGCCCTCCACTTCCTTCTGGGCTTTTAGTTCTTGTCATGCAGTCATCATTTCATGTGCGGTTTGAAATTCCTGACCTTGGGATCTTTCTCTGAAGGATGAGGACAGGAATTAAGGGGAGATGGAGATGCAACACGAAGCACTGGAGAGCCTCCGTCTTCATCTGAAGATCTGGAACAGCAAAGATCTAATCAAAGCAGAGAAAAGGAGGAGGAATTAAAAACAATTTGAGGAACATCTCATCATTTAAGAAAAAAAAAAACGAAGAGTAGATCTAATGAGTTTTTTTAATGTAAATTTTAAAATGTCACAAGTTTTTATTGTATTTTTGATTAAATAATGCCGCTTTTCTTTTCTTTTTTTGCTAGGATGTTCTGGAGGTTGCCAAGTCATTTTTTGTCAGTTGAACAATCTTATACATTTAATGCACTTAATCATAATTTTACTATTTTCTTTCAAATTCATGCTTTGAATATGGATTTTTTTTGTCAAATCCAAGTACCACAGAAGCCAAGGCACCATGTTTTGTAACAAAGGGTACATTTCCTACATTTTTTCCAGTATTTGAAATGTACAATTTAATTCTAATTTTTTTTAAATGTCAAATGCTAAATAGTGAAAAAAAAAACAGTTCGCACAAGTGCTTCATTCTGAAGTATTTATTGTTTTTCTTCAAACAAACCAGAAACCTCCAAAAACTATTTACAAAATGAATATTCATACATTATTGTCAAAATGGTTTCTTATGACCTTTCTTGAATTGTTGCATCTCTGGAAATTTCAAAAGACATCCACCTCAGATGTGTGTGATAGCAAGGATGACTAGCATAAGATTTTATGATTTAGAATCAGCCAATGCCACTGTTATTCAGTTGATCACTTTAACATGAACACAGTTCTGTGACAGTCAATACAGTATTGCTGCTTCACACACTAAATCAATAAATATAAGAAACATGTATTTTTATCATCATTAACATTTTAAAACATGGATTTTTTGCATACCAGTAAAGACATTAGGCATCTCTAGTTTAATCTGACCTGCAACATTTTGATTAAATAATGCCGCTTTTCTTTTCTTTTTTTGCTAGGATGTTCTGGAGGTTGCCAAGTCATTTTTTGTCAGTTGAACAAACCTTAACCTAAAGTAGCTCAACAGTTATTATTTGTGACCCTGGAGCACAAAACCAGTCTTAAGTCTCTGGGGTATATTTGTAGCAACAGCCAAAAATACACTGTATGGGTCAAAATTATAGATTTTTCTTTTATGCCAAAAATCATTAGGATATTAAGTAAAGATCATGTTCCATGAAGATATTTTGTAAATTTCCTACTGTAAATATATTAAAACTTAATTTTTGATTAGTAATAGGCATTGCTAAGAACTTCATTTGGATAACTTTAAAGGAGATTTTCTCAATTTTTAGATTTTTTTGCTCCCTCAGATTCCAGATTTTCAAATAGTTGTATCTCAGCCAAATATTGTCCAATCCTAACAAACCATACGTCAATGGAAAGCTTATTTAGTCATAAATCTCAATTTCGACTGGTTTTGTGGTCCAGGGTCACATTTTAGGATAGAATAGGGGAAGGAAAATCAATAAATGAATGAAACAATGAATGAATTAACATATATAACCAAACAAATGAATGAATAAATTAATAGTGCTCATTACCAAACAGACGGTCTTGTAGCGCAGTAACTACTTCAAGCCAAAGGTGAATTTCAGCCATGCAGTCAGCAGGTGGCGGTAGAGCTGATGGAGCTTATTGGTTCTTTATCTCCAGTACAAAAAAGAAAAACTGTTTAAAACAAACAAAAAAGTATTTTTCAGTCATCAATGAAATAATTCCAGTCCACAAAAAAATAAAAAAAATCCTTTTGCGTTGGCTAGCACCCTGGACCGAGCGGTTTAATCCTTTTTACATAACGGAGAACACTGTCGAGTCAATCTGTTCTGAATCTCCACATTTTAACCAAGTTTGGAGACTGTTCGTATAGTCTTAATATCAACATTGTTCAGTGAAAATCCTCCATGGGAAAATTCCAATGATATTTCCTCAAGTCCCAATGTGTCTGAAACTTCCCTTATCCATTTACGGTAAAGCTTGCGTGGTGACGTTCTCAAGCAGATCCATCAACCATCATAAGGATCAAACAAAAAAGTATTTTTCAGTCATCAATGAAATAATTCCAGTCCACAAAAAAATAAAAAAACATCCTTTTGCGTTGGCTAGCACCCTGGACCGAGCGGTTTAATCCTTTTTACATAACGGAGAACACTGTCGAGTCAATCTGTTCTGAATCTCCACATTTTAACCAAGTTTGGAGACTGTTCGTATAGTCTTAATATCAACATTGTTCAGTGAAAATCCTCCATGGGAAAATTCCAATGATATTTCCTCAAGTCCCAATGTGTCTGAAACTTCCCTTATCCATTTACGGTAAAGCTTGCGTGGTGACGTTCTCAAGCAGATCCATCAACCATCATAAGGAGAATGAGTCTCATGCAAGGGCATCAAAAACTCTCGAAGCATCCATCCGCTGACAGAAACGGGCATCTTGCGTTCTGTCTGCGCTCTCCAAGCCCAAGTGAAAGTTCCTCACAGTTTTGAGCAAATGAAAAGTGCATAGCGAGGGTATCAGGGCAGTGCTAGTCCCTTTGTTATCTTTATGAAGATGATGGCCATGACACCCCGTCCGGTGAAAACACAAAAATAAGAAAACATGTTCACGCTGTCCAAATAATTATCTGGCAGATCTGAGGTCATACATATGTTCTTTTGTTGCTCTTCTCATCAACATTCATCACAGATATGTCCATCCAACATAATCCACAAGCCAAGAAATGATTGGGTAAAAGGGAAAAATGTTAAAGCATTCAATATGCATCTAACAGTACCAAGAGGTCATCTGTGCTGTCTTGATTTTTGCCTTCTTTCCAGGTACATAAAGCATTTCTTCTGTCTTGATGATCAATTTGATTCCATTACAAAGAAAGATTAGTCAAAAGTAAACAAAAGAACAGAAGTTCGGTAAACAAAATATGGTCGCCTTTATGATTCTTAAAAACACACCCTGTCCGTGAGATAAAGGTACAAGAAGAAATCTTTGATGTAATTCTATTACTTGTGTTCCAGCGATCCAAGTTTGTTTCAGTCAGCAAGCTATATAGGCTGCACTCATATCCACATGCAAAGGAAGGGTCTGACGTCATGCCATTGAAGTCCCTCCAACAAAACGATTCTCAGCTGCAGAATCACATATTCAATCACCACAAAAAATAAAGGGGAAAAAAGCACCCACAAATGTCTGTGCGGTTTGTAAACAACCAAAACTCCAGTATGGAATAAAAGTTCTCTTTTTCATAGTCAAAGTCTGTATGAACAGGATTGTAGAGGCAGTGTGTTTTTGTGGTAGCCTTTCGTGAACGATTTTCGATTTCGCTCCCGATTACACTTGAATATCCTGTGTTAAGCAACTCCATCTACACCGTTACATTTTTGGAATACATTCAACATTTTTTTTTTTTTAAGAAGGAAAGAAAAAAGTACACAAATGCACTTCACATGGTGGCAACTAAAAAAAAAAAAATCCAAGGAAACTTTTGAAAACGAACAAAAAAGGTAGCAGCCCCAAGTGCTCTTCCTTTGTAGTCCAATACTTTGTTTATATTCATAGATTCATATATAATCATATATAACATTAAAAGAAAAAATAAATCACCATCATTGTCGTTGACAACAACAATGAACAAGTAACAAAATATACAGACATTTTGTGCACTGCTGAGTGCACTTGCACAGTTTGTTGCGATCATTTTTTTTTTTATACCAGAAATAGTCAAAACCTCAGTCACTCCAGAGCAAGAGAGTGGACAGAAAGGCAATGTTAGGTCACATCCACCAAATATCAAACATTTCTTTCATCCACACATCCCCAAGCTACAATAGAACTGTACAGAGATAGGCTCTTGTTTAATAAGCATGAGAGGCATGTGGGGGGGCAGAGCCGTCCAAAGGAAACCATGCCCCTTTGCTAAAAAAATAATGTCTCAATGGCAGCAATGAAGTCTAATCATTCGCCCTTTAGTTCTTAGGCACACGTGGGGACAGAAAAAAAACACACTCGCAACATACGTACCACAAGTAACCATTTCCTAAAGGTATACAAGATTGAGCTCTTCAACAACACACAACAAAACAATGACGCTAATGACATGTTCTTAAACCTCACAGAGGCAAAGATGAGGCAGTGGAGGCAGGAAAAGATGTCTCTTGCACTCCCTACCATGAAAACTAAGAGTGCTGGTTGGCGTAAAATGGGCTAAAGCTTTTGTGTTTGAATCTAGAGGTCATTCTTTGTTGGGGAATTGAAGGGCTGGTGAAAGAGGATGTGTTGTGCCGTTGCCCCCCTCTCTCTCTGTCTTTCATTCATTCATTCGTTCGCTCACATACTGCACATTTACAAGAGGAGTAATACACACAGTTCCTCCTGAACACAAGCATTCACATTCACACATTCAGTTCATACAATAAAAAAAAAATCACTCTGAATGACGAAATGGCCTCTTTTGAACATACGTCCAAGTAAGCGATTAAAAAAAATACATTGTGCAGACTGGCATGTTTTAAACACACACGCACACACACTCTCATTCTTGAACAAACATGCGTGCATAGACATACACACACACACAGGCACACAATCACAAAAATATTCATCTATTACATCTAACACATTTTTTTTTTAATCTTTTTAACTTGCATTTTATGTGAGTGCAAATCTTCAAGTTTTATAATCAAAGTTTTTTTTATAATAGCTTTATGTTTTTTAATAGAAACTTTATATATATGTATATAAAAAAAACAACAGTGTTTGTCTTTAAAGAGAGGATTTGTTTTTTTGATAATGTCTGAACTAAAACACGCAATGGTCCCCCAATCGCCACCATTTCCTCCCAGCACAAACTCCAGTTCTGATTCAACACACACAGTATATATATATATATATGTGGTAATATTTCTGAAGCATACCACATAAATATACAAGTAAATCTTCTCGAAAAAGAAAAAAAAAATCTTAATAAAGTGCATTAGTCTGAGTGTAAGGTGCTTAATGCTGTAAGTGCCAGAACTTTTTCACCCCCCGTCCCCTGAAAACACACACACAAAAATAAATTCACACCTGTTCCCTTCCCTGTTGAATTACATTCTTCTCTTCCCAGCGCAAAACCCACCCACCCCAAAACCGATACCTTACTCCTGGCTTATCCCCAAACCCCTCTCCCTCAAAGCAGTGCACATTCGACTTGCGGAGTCTGATTAGGTGGACCCGCGGGTTTAAAGGCCTCGTGTAGCTATTGCTGTGTATTCAGTAATCCTCGACCATCTCCATCTCGTTTAGACCATACCGATCAGGGCCACCATGGAATGAGTACCCTAAAAAGATAGAGAGAGAGAGAGAGAGAGACAAATTCAGTTTTCAGAGGTTCTCTAGAGCATTGAATCTCAACCTTTTGGCGTACCAGACCCCAGTCCAATTCAGAACCATCCTCAAGGACCCCCAGAACAAAACTGACTCATCTATGTATCATTTTTGTGTCTTTGTGAGGACCAAATGCAGTCAAGTATAATTCAAGTTAGCTGACTTGTCCAGTATTTGGCCATATCATCAGCGATATTGGATTATTCTTTCATGGGAACATGTCATGTCAAAATATACAAAATGTATACAAAAATTAATACTTTATAAGGACCCCCTGGCCTTACGTCAAGGACCACTAGGGGTCCACGGACCCCTGGTTGAGAAACACTGCTCTAGAGGATGCATGCCAAAATATCAAACAAATCTAACAGCCAACAGTGAATTAAAAGTACACTACCATTCAAAAGTTTGGAGTTGGTAAGATTTTTTTTTTTTTAAAGAAATCTCTTACGATCAAGGATGAAATTATTGTCAAAAACAGAAAAAAACTGTAATATTGCGAAATATTATTACAATTTAAAATAGCTTTTCCATTTAAAACATCTTTAAAAATATAATTTATTACTGTGATGGCAAAGCTGAATTTTTAACATCATTACTCCAGTCTTCATGTCACATGATCCTTCAGAAATCGTTCTAATATGCTGATTTGGTGCTCAAGAATCATTTCATTTTAATATCAATGTTGAAAACAGTTGTGCTGCTTATTGTTTTGTGGAAATTGTGATACAGTTTTGCAGCATTTTTTGATGAATAAAAGGGTAAAGAACAGTATTTATTTGAAATGGAAATGTAGTAGACGTCTTCACTTCAGTGTAGAAGTCTTCACTGTCACTTTTAAATTAAAATGCCATAATAAAAGTATTGGTAACACTGTAGTATAGGGACCAGCCTATATCACCCTCCAGCCCAAGACTGGTTGCCCACTGAAGCTAAGCATGGTTGAGCCTGGTCAGTACCTGGATGGGAGACCTCCTGGGAAAACTAGGTTGCTGCTGGAAGAGGTGTTAGTGAGGCCAGCAGGGGGTGCTCACCCTGCAGTCTGTGTGGGTCCTAACTCCCCAGTGACGGGGACACTATACTGACAAAAAGCAGTCTTTCGGATGAGATGTTAAAAAGAGGTCCTGACTCTCTGTGGTCATTAAAAATCCGAAAAAGAGTAGGGGTGTAACCCCGGAATCCTGCCCAACTTTGCCCATTGGCCTCTGACCATCATGGCTTCCTAACCATCCCCATATCTGCTGATTGGCTTCATCACTCTGTCTCCTCTCCACCAATAAGCTGGTGTGTGTAAGTTTTTTTTATGCAAGTCTAAAGTACAGGCTATTCAGTTAACAGCCTACTACAGAAATTGAATAATCAAATGTAAAATAAAACAGCATAGTCTTCACTGTAAGAAATAAACTTCCTTTGTTTCTTATTAAATACCGACGAGGGTTTACATCGGTATTTAACCATTTAGGCATGCACCTTAAGCTACAAGTTGACTTTACTTGTCTGTGTTCTGTTCCGTCTCTGAGCACATGCACAGAAATCCTTCAGGGGAACAGTGCGAAGTTCTCTTTCTCGCTTTTATAAACATGATTAAATCTAATCAACTTTAATAAATCAAGCATGTCCCATTTTGCAAAAGTCACATTACATGATTTCCACATGAAATTGGGCTTTTATGGACGAGCGAAAGCGCATGGCTGGAAAGGGAGCGGAATGGGGCACAATAATAATTTTATCACGATTATTGCATTTTCATAATCGTTGGAGGCCAAAATCGAAATCGAAACTGTATTTCGATTAATTGCACAGCTAATAGGAGTCATTTGTTCTGGAATCAGACTATTCGGGACATGTTATATGTACAAGAGGAACAAAGGTTACCTAAGATGCTTGGGTCAGAGTGCAGCATCGTGGGCTGTTTCTTCTTCAGCTTTGCTGCCTGATCATAGACCACACCCCCCTTCCCAGAATGCACTGCCTGGAACATAGACTGCAGGGCACTGGGGTTCATTCCTCGTACAGTCTCCTAACAGACAAAAAGAGTGTGAGAATGAGAGGCAAAAATAGGACTTAAAAATCAGATAAACAACTAATGAGACTTGGTTCTGCCCATCATGGAAATATAAATCACTGTCGATATAGAGTTGTACTCATACCTGCAGAGGGAAGTTGTTCATGCTAAGTCCAGCCATCTCTTTGGAGAGCTATAAAAGAGGACCAAGATTTTTACTGGGAGTAGGCAAACACACACACACACACACACACACACACACACACACACACACACAAAGACTTTACATCTTCCTGTCACACACACACACCTGCTGCTGCTGTCTCTGGTGGTTAGCTTTCTGTTTGGCACGGCGCTCCAGGAACTGTCTGGCAAACTCTTTGGCTTCAACAGTGTCGCCCAGGTAGGAGCAGATAATGTTCAACACCTCATACGGGGACTCCACCTCCTTCAGGTATGCCACAATAGCAGGCACTGTGAACACAAACACACGCTTTTGCTTAGAAACTCTCAGGCCTGCTAGGCTATTAAGTGCCCTGTGTTTGTTTTTACAAACTGAGGGACGAGTCTAAATTACTTTCCACCATAATCGTCAGCTTCAGTAGATGTCAAAAGAGAATTTGTATTTTAGATAATTTTTTTATTACAAAGTGACCCAAATGAGCTGGTGTGTGCAAATCCTAAAAGAGAGATGTCTTACCATCCTGGGAAGAGGAGCAGTTATTGGCGGAGGTGTTGAGCGCATGCAGCATCTGTTCACACCAGGTGGTGAAGCCGTCTTGAGACTTCATACCCTGCAGGAGTTTCAACAGCCGCTCCTCTTCCTCAGTGCGTTTACGGCCTCTCATCATGTACTGCTCACTGTAGAAACACACACAAATGGATTAGCTCCAACAAACACGAGTATAATACTAGCAACACCAAGGTCATGGGTTCAAATCCCAGTTAGATCTACTTTTTTGGCAAATATAAATGATTTGGAGTTCAAGAAATATTTCTTATTATCAATGTTGAAAACAGTTGTGCTGCTTAATAATGTTGTGGAAACCATGATACATTTTTTCAGCATTCTTTGATAAACAGAAAGGTAAAGAACAGCATTGATTTGAAATTGAAATCTTTTCTATCAACGTAAAAGTTTTCATGCATAAATGCAAACGAGAATGTTTTTTCAAAGACCTTTCTGGTCATTTTTGATTATGCCATAGAGATTTTTAAAAACACTGATTCAGATTGATTTGCTAATCAATCATTTAGACCATTTTTTGAACCAGTACAGATGTGTAAATGTGTAAATAGTAAATGTGTACCTTGAATGCAATGTATGTCGCTTTGGATAAAAGCATCTGCTAAATGCATTAGGGATGTAACGTTAAGAGTTAACGTAAAGTTAGGGGTAGGAGTTTATATGAATGTATGTCTGAGGGGAACTTACTGTCTTTCGATGGTATTTTTTATTTTCCTCTTGCCTCTGTATAATGCATATCAGGGCTCCAGACTCATTCTTCCCACTGGTCGCTCTTTTGCAACTAACTTTCTCAGCTGGTTGCACGAGCACATGATTTGGTCGCAATATTTAAAAAAAATTTTTTTTTTTGCGCTACAACATGGGATTATTCAATGCATGCTGATGAACTTTTGTCATAGTTTATAGTTATATGGAAACGAAAGTTGTTAACATTCAACCCATTTTTTATCATCAGTATTATTATTTGTGATTTGAATTTTGTGAATGGGAGTTTCTCTTTTGCTGTGTTAAGCCGCGGGCTTCGGATGCTTTCACTTTCGAATTCGCTATCTTGTTGTCACTGTTTTGCTTACATACATCTACACACCTTTAATTT